TTATTGATTCATCGATACCAATTACCTTGCAAAGCTCCTGAATAAAGCAAAATTTGAAATTTCTCCTTAGTCAGAATGCAACCGTGCAAGTCATCTGTAATGCAATATGGATTCTATAATAACGCATGCCAATAGTATCAAGCATGTATAGCATCAATCATGCAATACTGATCCAAATATTTAATTTAGCTGTTGGTTATGTTGCACTTAATACATTATTCTGCAGCAGTTCGTAAAGTTTTACCCAATTCATGTAAAAACTACCTCATCGCGGATATTCATAATGTATTTATAATAGTATAAAGTACTTATCCTTGATTCATAAACAAGATTGTTTGTTTCGCATGTTTCTGCTGGCTGCCTCAGCTGATTTCAATTTAAATATTCGAAAAAGCAGAAATAGTAGCATGGATTTACTACTTTGCAAAAATAGGATTTGGGAAGTTAAGATAGCCCAGATAGAAAAGAATCTTATGCCCTGGAGAAAACGAAATATTACCCTGTATGGTAAAATGACAATTCTGAAGACTTTCGCTCTGTCACAATTAACATATATTTTACCCATTCTGGATTATAGCTATAATTCCCTGAAAGAGATTGATGTTTTGTTTTTCAAATTTTTATGGGGGAGTAAAAAACATAAAATATCAAGAAAGGCTGTGATAGCAGATTATGATCAAGGTGGTATCAAAATGATAGATATTTTTGCTCATAATAAAGCGTTAAAGGCAGCGTGGGTAAAGAGACTGCTGACATAAAATCCAGATAAAGAAACGGAACCCAGATGGAAGTTAATACCTTTTTTCTATCTCAGGAAAAATAACATGCACAAAATAATTTTTCATTGTAATTTTTCAAATCCCCAACACTGTCCTGATCTTGGATCTCTGCCAGCATTTTATAAAGAAATGATTCATGCATTACACCAATCAAATATTATACCTTCCAAACAAAATTGCACCAAATCTATATTAAAACAAATTATTTGGGGTATAGATTCATTGTTTACCAAGGAAAACCCATATTATTTTCTAACTGGATTAAGTCTAATATTATCTATATGCAAGACATAATAACTGCTAACAAAATAGACCTGGACAAGATTCTACGTCCTTTATATAAGCAAGACTAACTGGGT